AAAAAGCTAAAGTGGATAGAGAGAATTACTTTTAACTGATGGTATATGGAGGGGATTATAATCAATGTAATGAAACAAGTTATATGAAGTGTTGAATGTGAAACTGATGATGTGCCCTGTAAACTTTCACTCAATCCACAATAAAAACCTTAAATTAAAACAAACAACCCTATGCCAGGTCTCTATGAGTCGGAACTGATTCAAAGGTACTTAACAATAACAGTAGTGGTCGTAGATGTTTTAACACTACACAGTAGGAGCAGATTGTGTTAGGGACTTTTGCCTAGAAATGGCAGTGGTGTGGCTCTGTGTCTGTTGAGGCTTGTTTGGGGAAGCCATTCTCAGGTGTGAGCTGTCTTCATCGCTGTTCTAGAATTTGACAGTGTGTTTACCAAGATGAATCAGTGGAAATCCAAAGCGTGTGAGGGAAGCTATCTGGGAACTTCTCTTCTAGGGAGCCCTATGACCCCCGCCACTCAGTGACCATCAGGGTGAGTGGGGGTGGTCTTCTCCAGTTTCCGCCTTGCCAAGGTACCACACAGAACAGCCTCACGTTGCTGTCTCTTTGGACAGCCTCAGGTTTGAGTTAGAGTTCTGTCTGAATTCTCTTCCCAGACTTCTTGGTGGTTGTGCAACTCAGCTGGAAACTGGGGGAGGAGAGGAGTAGGATCATAGCCCTCCTCTGTCATTGCCACATACACACAAACACACACACACTTGTCACAGTAAATGACATGCGCTGTCATAACAGACTGACCTCAGCAGATGGGAGAAGACCGTAAGAAGAAGATGTCATTGATGTTAACCTATAGCAGCACAGCATAGCTACTTTGACATGAATTGTTAATTATGTATTTGTACAATTTCTCAGTTTTCCTTTTCAGCACAGCAAATATTGATAGATAAAAGCCACATAAACCATAGTTGTTTGGGGTCATCACTTGGTGTGTAAAGGAGACACAGAGCTGGATGACATTCAATAAAGAATCTCCCCAAGTTTTTCCAAACTTTGGCTTCTGACTTTCTGCAAGACACCTCATGGGCCTTTTTCTGCAGAACGTGGACTGGGCTCTGTGCTGCTCTGCATCTGACTGTAACATTGGGGTGATTTATGTCGTCCAGTTCCCCCCAATGTCACTCTCACCCCTCCCCCATTTTAGATGTCCCTGGGTTCTAAAAATGTGGCATGCCAGTGACAATTAGCCAGTCCCTTATCAAAGATAAGCGGAGCTGATTGTTACTGAAGATGAACTATGCACAGAAATAGAAACTCTGGCACCTTCCTTCCTCTCCTGTGCCCGGTGGTCTTCTTGGTGAACTCACCCCACTCTGAATGACCAGATGAGGATATTTGTGAGCACTGTACCGGTGGCCCTCCCACCTCCCACCCCCAGGCTGGGTCTGGTACCTCTCTCTCTTCCCTCTTTAACAGCCTCAAGAATGTTAGGAATCATTAAAAGGTAGTTTTCCCAACTGACTTGTTCATCTACTTTTTGTCACGTTCTCACTATGTGTAAGACAGCCAAGAGGCAACCTAGGTCCCTGACAGTCACCTGCCCACCTGCTGGACTGCAAAAAGAAGGCGTCAGTAAATAGTGCTACTTCCCTGTGGTTTTAGACGATTGCCGTCATGTGATCCACCTCTTCATTTTTTATTTATATCTTGGTTGTGGGGATTGTTTAGCTTTTTCATAGGTAACTTAAATGTAGAATCTTATAACAACACCCTTATTTGCACAGAACCTTACTTTTAATGATAAGCTACTGTTTATTGTAAACTAGCTGAGCTTTAGATATTTGGATTCTTTTGCTGGCTTGCTTTTTAATAATGCCCCATGTCTGAGATATGTCTAATAGCTTTACAAAGCTATTGCCAGTTGGTCTGTACCAGATTCTTTAAACCATGAATATTTATTCATTTATTTTTTTCTAGGTCGCTATAAAAATAATTGACAAAACTCAGTTGAATCCAACAAGTCTACAAAAGGTAAGATTGGTATCCAGTGTTTTAAAAGTGATTTTCAGTGCTAATTGCCAACTAATTTGTCCTTTAAATACTTCAACTGTTGTTTTATTTATTTACAGGACTGAGCCCTGGTGGCACAGTCATTAAAGCACTTGTCAGAGAACCAAAACGTCAAGGTTTGAATCCCTCAGTCAGTTCTCGGGGGAGAGATGATGCAGTCTGCTTGCGTAAAGATGTCACTTTGGCAATGTTCTGGGGGCAGAGTCTCTGACTGGCATTGACTCGGTGGCATGGGTTATTAGGGTTAGTGCAGTGAGACTCCCTATTTCACAAGTGAATGCAACAGATATAATGGGGTTGTATTAGCAAGGGGGGAACCTGCGGGGGCTGAAGCTTTTCTTATGGGTCTGAGTAAGAGAAGGTAAGGGAAAGATGCAGATAAAATTATATCATTCAATTAAGAGTGATTGTTAATCAGGCTGGTTGTTACGGGTCACTTTTGTCATTCTCTTGGATATAAAATGATCCATTCCAAAAGCGGGGGTGTGTGAGAGGTTTCTTGTTACCATCAGAGAAGCTGAGCCAGGACGGGAGTGCGTCCTTTAGATTCTGAAACCCCAGTGAATTGAATCTCCTAAACCCAGGGACCAAAATCTCTGCCACCAGCGGGAACAGTAGTAGCACCAAGAACCAGAGCAGCAGACACAGAGCCCATGGAGCAAGTAACGCTGAGTGCCTTTGAGCAAGAAGCTCATTTGTGAAGTGTGGTACCTCCCTGCATTTAACTGGCGCTAAATGCCTTTGGACTAAGGCTTGTAACAGAGTGACATGTCGTTTGGGCATTTATCAGCAGCTCTGAAAGAGTTTTGTAACATTGCCAAGCCGGGTAGGGCCAGGCTGAGGGCCTGAGGAGCCTGTCTGTCTTCAGGTATGGCTGAAAAGAGGCTGTCCAGTTCAAAGAACTATCCTAAGCTTTCCTGATCTGCATAATAACATGTTAGCTTCCTTCATAAGCCCCATGACTGTATGGGGTCTGAGTTGTTTGTGACCATTGCAGCACATTATCGTACCCAGTTGAGGGTGTCCTAGATGGTCGGTGCCATTTTTATGCCTCTTCACAAAATCTTATCCAGTTATGGGATGATGATTAATTAATATAAAAGGAAAATGTCAAAGCAGAACTGAATAAGAGTTGAGAAACGTGTTGATAGCTCTTTGTAGCTTGTGACTTCAGAAGTTCTCAATCCTGGTGCATTTTAAACTCACCTGGGCACTTCTGAAAATCCTGTGAGAGACGTGCCCTGAGCCCAGGCGATCTTTTATCACCATGGTCTGGTCCTGCTAGTGCTCCGCTGTTTGACACCGCCTGTACCCGACTTCATTTGTTCTCTAGGTCTTACAGAAAGCTTATGTACAGGAAGGTCGCCAGTTGGAACCCACCAGCCTTTCCACTGGAGAGCGATGGGACAGTTCTGCTGTGCCCCATAGTCTCCGTAGTCAGAACCAACTGGACGAAAGTGGGTTGCTGGTGTGTGTAGTACTGCACAGCTTCATTGGGTTTCTAGATGTGAGCACAGAGACCTGAACTGCAGACAAGAAGTCTGAATTTTAAATCCTGGCTCTGCCACTTATAAAACACTTTAACTTGACTTTGAGCAAAGGTCTCAGGTTTCTTATGTATATAATGGAGATAATTGTGTTGTCTTGTGATAGATGTGAGTAATAAATGAAATAATGCATTTAAAAGCACTTGTGAACAGAAAAGCAACGCTCAGCTATAAGATATATGATAGGTATAATGTCATACGTACATTCCTAAAGAGGGTTGGGTATTTTCCACTTGTCTCATAATTTTGAGATCTTGTTTCAGGTGGATACAAGATCCACTTTATCTTGCACTGAAAATGGTTATCTCAATAGGGATTCTTAGAGATCTGCAGGGGTTCGCAAAGTGACCCTGGGACAGATCTGAACATTCAGGTCCTTTCTTGGAAGAGTCCCCATTTCCTGAAACTCAATTCTTCATGTCTTATATTAATAAGAAGTAAATGAGGAATTACTTATGTCTGGTGTTCCATAAACGAGATTGAACATAGGCTGAAGAGCTTTTCAAGGGCTCTAATTCAGTATTCTCTGATGTCACAAATCTCACTGAAATTCTTAGGATTGTTCTGGGAGGAATTTCCCCGTCCTGTTGTTGTCTTGACTCCACGATGCATCTGAGTTGTTTATAGCCTTTTTACCCTTCTTTCCTCCTTCTTTCTTTTCTTCATTATTTTTGGTTACAGTTTTTAACTGCTGCTGTTTTATTGTTATTATTGAAAATTACTGTTTGTGACATCGTTATCAACTTAGTATATGCTGGGTTATTTGGAGGGGGATGTTTGTGTCAGTAATTTTGGATTCTCATTTGTTGGTGTTTGGGTACTCTTGAGATGACTCAGATTCATAGTGAGCCCATGCACTACAGAATGAAACACTGCCCGAGACTGTGCCATCCTCACAGTTGCTGTGTTTGAGCCCTTTGCTGTAACCACTGTGGTTTTTCAGAACCTAGGAGTTAAGATTTGTTTGTAGTGTGCTTCAGGTACGGATCATCCAAAAACCACACTAAAGCCAAATATGTCCTGGTGAAATACTTGACGAGTATAGTATTTTTATGATTGTGGGTTTGCTAGCCAGCCGTAAACAAATCCCAGGAATCGACATAACCCTTTCCATGGCATCCTGTCTGTTAGACAGCTTGAGCTATTAGCTAGTGTTTGGGTTTTGTTTTAGTTTTCGTACCTTGCACTAGCATTGGTCTTCCAGGAACTTGTACATTACCGTTCTTTATTCTGCCACATTAGGAACATGAAGGATCCTTACGATAAGCACTGGGCTCTGAACAAGGTTGGCGGCTGAAGTTCACCAACTGCCCCATAGGAGAAACATTGAGGCTTTCTACTCCAGCAAAGATTTAAAAAGCCTTGGAAACCCTGTGAAGGGTCGCTCTGAGTCGAAACCGACTCGATGACTCTTAACAACAACAGCATTCTACCATCTGGAACTATAAAGTGAAACAGACCACTCCACACGTAGGAGCCCTTGGAGGATGCAATGCTGGGTTTCCTTGAGCTCCCTTCTCACGAGTAAATAGCCATAGTCTCCTTGGCCCGGGGTGGGGGTGGGGGGGTAACAGTCAGTGTAATGAAGCCAAGTCTGTGATTGTGGAATGGACAACTGATGATCTGCTCTGTAAACCTTCACTCAATTCACAATAAAGAGTTTTTATAATTCATCAGATTTACTAAAGGGAAAAAAACAGTCAAGTGCAAAACACACAGGAGACTCCACCTTTCTGAGAGACTTGACTGTGGGATTTTTTTGCCCAGGTCTTTGTGGGGAGATCTTTCAGTAGCAGTATGGCTGGGTTTTACAACCCAGAGAATCTTACCTGTAGAGTGAGCCAGAGAGCTGTCATTTAAAGGCAGAGGGACCCAGTGTGTGCTTTTCATGGTCTACAGTATAGATGCTGACTACTACCGCCCTGGGTTGATTGGGTCTCTGTAACCCAGTCGATGTGCCCCTGGCCATTTGCCCGCCTTCTGTCAAGGTTCTGGTTCACTGGGCCTAGGGTGGGTGTAGTGATTCCAAGGGCCTGGTCCAGGTGAGACTGGCTCTTGAACCCTTTTCAATTCTTCTCAGAGTTCTGAGTTTCTCTCCTCCTCTTCCCCAAGGTAACTCCCTTCCCAAGTGTCCTCAGTCTGTTGACAGCTCCTCGCTGCCACTACTCAATATTCCCCTCTAGCCTCATTCTCTACTCAAAGAAGCAGCATTGCATTAGTCAAATCTACTGCACAAGACCTCTTTAAAGTGTTCAAAAGCCAAGATGTCACTTTGAGAACTAAGGTGCACCTGACGTAGGCTGTGATACTTTGAATAACTTCACATGCATGTGAAAGTTGGACAGGGGATAAAGAAGACCATAGAAGATCTGATGCATTTGGGTTATGGTGTTAGAGGAGAATATTTAAGTACCACAGACTGCCAAAAAGAACAAACAAATCTGTGTTCGAAGTAGTACAACCAGAGTGCTCCTTAGAAGTCAGGATGGCAAGACTTCGTCTCTCATACTTCAAACGTATTATCAGGAGGGACCATATCCTGGAGGACATCATGCTTGGTAAAGTGGAGGGTCCGCAATAAAGAGCCAGACACCCAATGACATGGATTGGCACAGTGGCAGCCACAGTGGGCTCAAGCATAGCATCGATTGTGAGGTTGGCGTAGGACTGTTTTGTTCTGCTGTGCATAAGGTCACTATGAGTTGGTACCAACTTGACGGCACCTAACAGCAACAATCCTCATTGCCTGGGAATGTCTCTGCCTGCTTCCTTAAAGCTGACAGCCTTGGAAACGCTATGGGGCATTTCTCCTCTGTCCTTTAGGGTCGCTGTCAGTCAGAATACACTGGACAGCAAACAGGGACAGGCTTTGTCTTCTCCCTTCTGATTCATTGACACACAAGCCATGTGACTCTTTTCGTTGAATACCTACAAACAGGCATGGAGGTGATGTCTGACCTCCTGTTTCATGAGGGTAAAGGAGAATCAAACTCAAATCCAGCCTAAAACGAATTCCTGTGAGGTGGCGATCAGAAATGCACTCACCCTGTAACCTTTTTATCCCTGTGAAGACATCAAATATCCTTGCACAGCAGTCTACTTCTCTGCTGGGTTCAATAATCCATTGCAGTGATGACTCACAGCTCACAGACAATACTCAAGAACGATGGATCTAAAACAAATCAGGGTACAGCAGTTTCGAGTCAGGAGTGCCTCTTCTCAGCCCCGTGGCCTGTAGGTTTCTGCCCTGCTCAGGTAAACATTACAAGCTCCTTTAGTAGCTCTGCAAATAAATGCCCAAATGTCACCCCATTCTCCTGCCCAAAGGCAGTCAGCTTTACATTGTCTGGGCTGGGAAGCCCATTGCTTGGTCTCTCCTTGCAGCTGTCTCTGCTGTCACCTCTGCCACTCCGG